TACATCACAATGAGGCTCTGGAACATCTAAATCGAGCACAGGTGGTGCTAATTCCCAAGATGGAAATTGCAACGGAGCCAAAGGATTTCAGACCGATAAGTCTGATCCACTCCTTTGCAAAGTTACTGACAAAGGTGCTGGCGAACAGATTGGCGATATATATAGATAAGCTAATTTCTAACTCTCAGAGTGCATTCATTAGAAGGAGATGCATCCAGAAAAACTTCTTGTATGTCAGGGGGCTCGCGCGTCACTACCACCACACAAAAACACCAGCCTGCCTCATCAAACTCGACGTAACCAAAGCGTTCGACTCGGTATCTTGGGAATACCTGATCGAGCTGCTTGCGAGAAGAGGATTTCCGACAAGATGGCTTGACTGGCTCGCAGTGATCCTCATAACATCATCCTCGGACTCAATGGTTGTCCAGGTGATAGCATCATGCACCGGAGAGGCCTTAGAGCAGGGTGATCCATTGTCACCCTACATATTCATACTGGCAATCGATGTCCTTAATAACATCTTCGACATCGCCACGCAGCAAGGCTTCCTATCAAAACTAAAAGGTAGACATGCAAGCCTCCGAATATCAATGTATGCTGATGACGCTGTAATCTTCAGCAACCCAAGACGACAAGACATTACCTGCATCATGGAGATTATGAATGTTTTTGGTTCAGCCACGGGATTGCAGAAGAGCACTGTGGCCCCGATCAGATGTGTGGGCCTAGATATGGAAGAGATACTACAAGATTTCCCTAGGTCAAGAGTAAACTTTCCTATGCAATACTTAGGACTACCTCTCACACTTGGAAGGTTAAGAATGGTGCACCTGCAGTACATCCAAAATAGAGCTAAAGGGAGGGTGGCTGGCTGGCAAGGGCGCCTGCTGAATGTTGCTGGCCGCAGGGAGTTGGTGTGCTCTGTGCTTAGCTCCCTCCCGGTATACCTACTGACGGTGGTGAAGGCACCTAAAAACTTCTTGAAAGAACTTGACAAACTGCGTAGAAGATTCTTGTGGGCTGGCGACAAGGAGCTTACTGGAGGGAAATGCAAGGTTGCATGGACCAAAGTATGCACGCCAACAGTCAACGGTGGCCTAGGCATCATTGAACTTGAAAAGTTCAGTCGTGCACTGCGGCTTCGGTGGCTCTGTTTTCATGGGATGACACAGACATACCCTGGAAAGGAATGGAGCTACTGGTTGACAATAATGACATTGCACTCTTCAATGCTGCTACAAGTGTGGTCTTAGGAAATGGGAACAAGGCTAAGTTATGGTCCTCTCGTTGGCTAGATGGTCAAGCACCTGCAACCTTATACTCGGCCTTGTTCAAACATAGCAAGAGGAAGAACAGAACAGTTAGTGATGCCCTGGCTGACGATAAGTGGATCAGAGATGTCGATTATAGCATGACGGAGCGGGTGGTTGAGGAATTTATATCACTGTGGACTTGCTTACAGGGAATCACTGTCCAGCTGACACATGAGGATAAGATCACCTGGCTCCACACAGCTGATGGCCAATACACGGCAAGATCGACATATAAAATACAATTCCTTGGAATGGCCTCATCCATGACAGCTGAAATCACATGGAAAACAAAAGCGCCGTCAAAATGCCGCTTCTTCACTTGGTTGATGCTGCAGAACCGCATTTGGACAGCTGTAAGGCTAATGTTGAGGCAATGGCCAAATGACTACTTCTGTCAACTCTGTGTAAGGAACCTGGAAACGGTCTCACATCTTTTTCAGGAAAGCGGCTACTCGAGGAATGTCTGGGACAAGGTGGGCTCTTGGATTTCGGCGGCTGCTCTAAGGCCGACACACTGGACGCCGACTGAAGATCTAGGGCAATGGTACGCTGACATGGGCAATAGTGGGACAAGAGATGCAAGAGACGGGGTGCGCTCGATGATCATGCTGACAACCTAGGAACTATGGAGGGAGGGGAACAATCGGGTTTTTCACAGATCCTCGAGAACGCCGGAGCAGGTCTTCAGAGCAATACAGAAGGAAGCAATGACGTGGATACGGGCCGGAAATAGAGGGCTAGAAGCAGTGCTGCCTCCACTGGAGCAGCCTCTTGTAGATGCTGTAAATCCTATGTAAGATAGAACTATAAAACGTAGGGGTGGCATGGCACTCACTAGGATGTGAAAGCCATGCAAAATGGGCGATCCTTGTGCCAAACCTTGTAAATATTGTGCTCTTCCCTTATCAATGAAAGCCGGTAACGGATTTTTCGAAAAAAAATGTTTCTGCTGCAACACGACATGACTAACAAGTTAACAATTTGATCATATATAGCCTAAACATGAAGCTTAACTGAAATGATTCCACAGGAAGCTGCTGGCCGGCGGTGCAAAAATGATTGAATTGCTATTGCTATGCATGGGTTACAGGCAAGCAAAGAAGCTACGGGCTAATGATGAGAGAAAGCCTGTCAAAAAAATGACGAGAGAATGTCACAGGCTAGCATGGCTAACTTTGGGGATTTAATTTTCTTTTTCTTACTAAGTAGTACTACTTTTCCTCCAACACCAAACTCATGGCTGCATGATTAAGTTCGGTTGGTATGCCTACAACAAGCAGTTGCTTAAATAGCACCGCACGCCATTGCATTCTATGTATGTATGATCCCATCATCTTAGAGTACACATTAGCCTGCACTGCACCTCTAGCTCTAGCTGCATATCCTGCTCCTTCATGCAAAGTTTGCTAGTAGCTAGCAGTGCAAAAGCTAGCATCTTGATTTGCTAGGGTCGTCCCTCATTAGGCCCTATGATTATATATGAACTCCTTTGGTTTGTGTTCCACTGTTCCCTAGCTAATTAGGCTTTTCTATCAGTATTATTGCCACCACAAATTCACAATTACACTTTGTTTGATGGATCAAGATGTGTTTCTAGCCGTTTTGCTGTGTCGTGGCACATTATTTTGGAGAATATTGTCATTCTGATCTGTGCCACATACATCAAACTGGACTAGATACACAAATTCATATACCCTCGCGGTGCACGTATTGCTCCTTATGTACCTTCTCATTTGCTTTATGGATCGGAGAGCATGGCAATTGATCTCTGCATTCTTCAATGGTGAAAACTCAGATTAGTCTTTCCAAGCTACTGTTCAAAATCGGTGTATTTAAAGGTATGGATGAATATATAAATTATTGCTGAATCAGGAGGTTATTACTTATGAGGCCTAGGTAAAAAGGCAAGTAAATAAGGGGACCTAGCTATGCAAGAATAGTGTAGTTAAATAAGGACCAGTGCATAGTGTTTTTCACTCTTACTTGATCTTACTTGACAACATTTCTACTTTAACTTATTAGTTCTTAAGTGTTTTATGCACCCTGTTCCTTTCTGCCTAGTTTTTTCTTAAACTTCAAAAATGCCAATAACACAGCAAGGATTTCAAAATATGCTCATAGAGTTGACATCCTAGGGTGTATATACATAGCCCCAAGAAAAAGCCGCTTGCAGCTAAGATTGACATTTTTTTTTCACATGGTTTTCTGTTGTTCATTGGGTGAACTGTTCATTCCCCTATTGCAATAATTTGATGCAGTTGTTATTCTAGATGCAGTATATATTTCTGTCCCTTGCTATTGCTGTTATTGCTTGATCAGATATTCATTCAGATCATCAGATACGGAAGAAGTGCATATAGCAGCCTTTCAAACTGTGTCAACTCACTTGCTAATTAACCCATTTAATTACATTGCTAGTACTACTTCTGTTCCCTTTTCATCTGATGCATGTAGGACAGGTGACATTCTACTGGGGACATGTGCCAAGCAATGCTCAAAGGATCCCCTTGTCAGACAAGAGCAGTAAAAGCAGCAGCAGCAGCTACTGCATGCATGCCCACTGTCACAGGAATGATTAGCGCAGGTTTTATTTCAACAAGGTCAACTTGGGCAGACTCAACACATGCAGTGCACCACTGCACATATGCTTAGGCAGGGTAAACTTTCTTTAGTTGTTTATATATGCATGACATGTGTCCAGATCTCTTAGCTAGTTAGGGTGCTTGCATCAGGACAACACCAAGAACATACCCCTCCACCCTCTTGTCTCCCTTTGGGTTAAATCTTTTCTTTTAGAGCCTGCAATGGAAGCATCCTGTTCTACTGACTGGTAACTGACATAGGATTAGTATTGTTTGTTTTGCTCAAATTACTGTAGCTCTTGTTGCCCCGATAGCTTATCTGTACCACAGAGAGTAGGAGCTAGCTTCTGCATGGTACTAGTAGATCAGGATCAGTTGAAATCTTAGGCTTTCATCTACACAAAATGCAGGAGTAGATCTGTTTCAGAACTTGACAACAGAAGCTTCCAAAAGAACAGGCCGTACGAACACCTAATTTACAGCAGGTCTGTTGGTCTCTGATTAGTACTCCTTAGTAATCAATCAGGTTCAGAAAGCTAGAGCAGAGCTAATCTTCTACTGTCTGCAATGACAGGGAATGTAAACTGAAGATGCAAATGCAATTAATCTACTCTGATCTGATGGGGGCTGCCACAAAGTAAAAGATTAAAGAATGCCAACATTGCCCAAAAGTAGGCTGCAAAAGCCATGGCTTTGAAACACATTCCCTCCATGTTCCATGTTCCATGTTCTCATGCCCCCTCTCCAAAACCCAGCTCACATTCGTTCGCAGGGTGAGGTGTCCAGGCACTAAACAAACAGCATGGTGGCATGTTAAGAAATGCCAAGAAGATCCATTATCTTATTACATGCTTTAACCGATCTTGGGACTAGTGAGAGTGATGATATAAAGCCTTTTCTGCCATCTTCTTCTTCTTCCACCTAGCTGCAGCCTCTGCCATTCCTGCAGATGCAGTAGTGTCAGCAAACAAACTAGTAGGCAAGCCAGACAGTGCCTCTGACATGGCGCAGCACTAGAAGCAGCAGAGGCACCTGCTGCAGCTAGAAGCTGATAGATTTCAGCTCCCAAAAGTGCTTTCTAGGAAAGTGGCAGAGGATTCTAATGGAGGCCAGAGTGACAGCACTGGTTCTGCTAGTGACAGTGTCCTCCATCTTGTACACCGGAGCTGGCGCCGCCGCCGCCGGCGGCGACGAGCGGGCAGCGCTGCTCGCTCTCATGGCGGGCTTCGTTGACTCGTTGGGCGCGCTCGCCGACTGGACCGATGGCGCCAAAGCCTCGCCGCATTGCAGATGGACGGGCGTCCGGTGCAATGCCGCCGGCCTCGTCGACGCGCTCGACCTCTCCGGGAAGAACCTGAGCGGCAAGGTCACGGACGACGTGCTCCGGCTGCCGTCGCTCACCGTCCTCAACCTGTCCTCCAACGCGTTCGCCACCACGCTGCCCAAGTCCCTGGCGCCGCTGTCCAACCTCCAGGTGTTCGACGTGAGCCAGAACTCCTTCGAGGGCGCGTTCCCGGCCGGCCTCGGCTCCTGCGCTGACCTCGCCACCGTCAACGCCTCCGGCAACAACTTCGTCGGCGCGCTCCCCGCCGACCTCGCCAACGCCACGTCCCTCGAGACCGTCGACCTGAGGGGCAGCTTCTTCGGCGGTGACATCCCGGCGGCGTACCGGAGCCTCACCAAGCTCAAGTTCCTGGGCCTCTCCGGCAACAACATCACCGGCAAGATCCCAGCGGAGCTCGGCGAGCTCGAGTCGCTCGAGAGCCTCATCATCGGGTACAATGTGCTGGAGGGAAGCGTCCCGCCGGAGCTCGGCAGCCTCGCCAACCTCCAGTACCTCGACCTCGCCGTCGGACACCTCGACGGGCCCATACCAGCGGAGCTCGGCAAGCTTCCGGCGCTCACCGCGCTTTACCTGTACCAGAACAACCTCGAAGGCAAGATACCGCCGGAGCTCGGCAACATCTCGACGCTCGTCTTCCTCGACCTGTCCGACAACTCGCTCACGGGCCCGATCCCCGACGAGGTCGCGCAGCTGAGCCACCTCCGGCTGCTCAACCTCATGTGCAACCACCTCGACGGCACCGTGCCCGCGACCATCGGGGCCATGCCGAGCCTGGAGGTGCTCGAGCTGTGGAACAACTCCTTGACGGGGCAGCTTCCCGCGTCGCTCGGCAGGAGCTCGCCGCTGCAGTGGGTGGACGTGTCGTCGAACTCCTTCACCGGCCCCGTGCCCGCTGGGATCTGCAACGGTAAGGCGCTCGCGAAGCTGATCATGTTCAACAACGGCTTCACCGGCGGGGTCCCGGCCGGGCTCGCGTCTTGCGAGTCGCTGGTGCGCGTGCGCATGCAGAGCAACCGGCTCACCGGCACGATCCCCATCGGGTTCGGCAAGCTGCCGTCGCTGCAGCGGCTCGAGCTCGCAGTCAACGACCTGTCCGGAGAGATCCCCGGCGACCTCGCGTCGTCGACGTCGCTGTCGTTCATCGACCTATCTCACAACCACCTCCAATACTCGCTGCCGTCGAGCCTCTTCACGATCCCGACTCTGCAGAGCTTCTTGGCGTCAGACAACATCATCTCCGGCGAGCTCCCAGACCAGTTCCAGGACTGCCCGGCACTGGCGTTGCTGGACCTGTCGAACAACCGACTCGCCGGCGCGATTCCGTCCAGCCTCGCCTCGTGCCAGAGGCTGGTCAAGCTGAACCTCAGGTACAACCGGCTCACCGGCGAGATACCCAAGGCGCTCTCCATGATGCCCGCGATGGCCATCCTTGATCTGTCGAGCAACGCCTTGACCGGCGGCATACCGGAGAACTTCGGGAGCTCGCCGGCGCTGGAGACGCTCAACCTCTCGTACAACAACCTCACGGGTCCCGTGCCCGGGAACGGCGTCCTGCGTTCCATCAACCCCGACGAGCTGGCGGGCAACGCCGGGCTGTGCGGCGGCGTGCTCCCGCCGTGCTTCGGGAGCCGCGACACGGGCGTGGCGTCGCGCGCTGCCCGCGGCAGCGCGCGCCTCAGGCGCGTCGCGGTGGGCTGGCTCGCGGCGATGCTCGCCGTCGTCGCCGCGTTCACGGCGCTGGTCGGCGGGCGGTACGCGTACCGGCGGTGGTACGCGGGGGGTTGCTGCGACGACGACGAGAGCCTCGGCGCGGAGTCGGGCTCGTGGCCATGGCGGCTGACGGCGTTCCAGCGGCTCGGGTTCACGAGCGCCGACGTGGTGGCGTGCGTGAAGGAGGCGAACGTGGTGGGCATGGGCGCGACCGGGGTGGTGTACAGGGCGGAGCTCCGCGCGCGCGCGCCGTGATCGCCGTGAAGAAGCTGTGGCGGCCGGCGCCGGTGGACGGCGACGCCGCGGCGAGCGAGGTGACCGCGGACGTGCTCAAGGAGGTGGCGCTCCTGGGGCGGCTCCGGCACCGGAACATCGTGCGGCTGCTCGGGTACGTGCACAACGACGCGGACGCCATGATGCTGTACGAGTTCATGCCCAACGGCAGCCTGTGGGAGGCGCTGCACGGCCCGCCGGAGAAGCGCGCGCTGCTGGACTGGGTGTCCCGCTACGACGTCGCCGCCGGCGTGGCGCAGGGGCTGGCGTACCTCCACCACGACTGCCACCCGCCGGTGATCCACCGCGACATCAAGTCCAACAACATCCTCCTCGACGCCGACATGGAGGCCCGCATCGCCGACTTCGGCCTCGCCCGCGCACTGGCGCGCACCAACGAGTCCGTCTCCGTCGTCGCCGGCTCCTACGGCTACATCGCGCCAGGTTGCTATCATCGCTGATCCATCCATCCACGAATCGATCTGAAGCGATTGTATGTTCTGACGCGTACGATCTGAATGGGAATGTTTGCAGAGTACGGGTACACGCTGAAGGTGGACCAGAAGAGCGACATCTACAGCTACGGCGTGGTGCTGATGGAGCTCATCACGGGTCGCCGCGCGGTGGAGGCGGAGTTCGGCGAGGGGCAGGACATCGTGGGGTGGGTGCGGGACAAGATCCGGAGCAACACGGTGGAGGAGCACCTGGACCCGCACGTCGGCGGCCGGTGCGCGCACGTCCGGGAGGAGATGCTGCTGGTGCTGCGCATCGCCGTGCTCTGCACGGCCAGGGCGCCGCGGGACCGACCGTCCATGCGCGACGTGATCACTATGCTCGGCGAGGCCAAGCCACGGCGCAAGAGCGGGAGCAGCGGCGCCGCCAGCGGCAAGGACGGCGCCAGCGCCGCCGCCGTAGCCCCAGCCGTGGTGGTGGACAAGGACAGGCCGGTGTTCAGCACCACGCCGGATTCAGACTACGCCTAGTCCGGCGCCATGATAACTAGGTCGATACAACTACTTTTGCCTCGTGTTCAGTGCCTGTCAATGATTTGTTCATGTACCTAGATTTTGCTTTGCTGCAGGATCTTGAGCCTGTATGTAGCCAAATGTTTGCTGTGAAGATTAACTAGCTTATAGATTCTGTAGATTAATGTAAGCAGCTGAATAAGCTTTGAAATTTCCTTAATTATACAAGCACCCCAAAGAGAACGAAGAAATCAAATCAAGTCAATCAATTGATCAAAGCTCGCTGTCATCTGTTCTCAAACTGAATACGTCCAACACTTTTTATACCTACTTACCTAGGATTCTACCCTAATAGTATATATAAATCTATACTTACAAGGAATTAGTTGGCTGCCCAGACCCAGTCAGCCAGCATATATGGCTACCGAAACCTCTACAGTACTAATTACAAAGCTACAGGAACCAGAGGCAGGAGGAGAGCGCAGCAACGAGACTAGCGGCTGGTTTCTTCATCTCCGCCGTTGTTGAGCCATCTTTATGATGAGCATGCATCCTATCAGCATACATCGGGAGGAGCGTTATCTCATCAATCTCTTCGAGAAGCTTTTCCTTGGTAATGTTGTTATCTGTGATACTCCTCATCACCTGCAGATCATGCAAATAAAATGTAACAGTACTGCAGTTGTTCGCTTTCCCACCCAAATACGGAGTACTTGTTTAGACATGGGCAAAATATGATGCTCAACAACCCACAAAAAAAAATGATGATCAACCACCCGCAAAGAAAAATGATGCTAAACTACTTACAGTTGTAACTGACTTTGAGAATTGCTGAAGTGAACGTCTTAGAAAGCAGGATCACAAAAGATTCTGAAGGCAGAAAATGGAACTCATAAGGAGAGCTACCCATGCAAACAGAAATACTATGATCCAATGTGACAGACCCACTGTGTTTTGGAAAATGATTTTGCCCTAACAGCAAAAATATTTCAAATGAGTACATTGAAATTTTCCAGCAAAGATCAAGATGAGATTTACATGCAGCAATATTCTTAAGAAAATAAAACGAAGTAAAACAGAAAATGACAACTAGCCTTCCGGTATGTGTTGATGTCGTTTGGAGTTGATTTATCAGATCTAATACGCATACAGGCCCAACACTTCTCTTCCTTATTCCAGGAACACTCAACAATCCTCCCAGCGACAGAGGATGGATCCACATCGTCTGTATAAGTTTCAAAACAACAATAAATACAAAACAAATAGGATAGGATACTTTTACAAAAAAAAAAAGAATAAAAAAATAAAGAAATTTTTTAAAATATATACCGTTATGAGATAATACTCCTATAAATAAATATGTTTTAAATTTGTTAAAAGAATATTATTTCAGCACTTAAAGAGACAAATAAGCTGACTACACAACGAACAAGGTCACCATGATAATTGAAATACATGTTCCAGTAAATGCTATCCGAGCAGCATCCATAAGTTTCTTTTTTCCTCTCTCATAAAGGAAAACCAGTTGACGATTATCATTTGTAAGCTGCATTAATCAGGCATAACAAAATCACCAATATCAAAAAAATTCTTCACTATGACTAAACCATTTAAAACAAATAGTTAAAATTGGTGACCTCAAACAGAAAGTCCACATAATTCATCTCAGGGTACTTCCATTTTAGAAGACCTTCATGAGTACGAGTTACATATGGATCATCCCAGCCCTGCAAGAACAATTGACGCATATCAGCCAAATAAAACCAAAATGTACTAGTAAATAACCACAGAATACATAGTTACAATGGATGTTCAAGGTCACAGAAGGGACAGCAGTTCCATATCTAGCACTGTTCAAAATTTGGTCCAGGATTCTACACATCCACAACAAAATTTTCTAAGCTACATACAAGTCTTAACAAGTAGGCAGCAACTCCATGAGTGAACACGTACACACCAAAAAAAAAAAAAACAACTCAAACTACTTGTAAACAGACGCATAACATCTACACGTGAAAAGTAAAAATGGAAAACAAAGTATCTGTGAATTATCAAGTGACCAGCAACATGTAAAGTGTACAAAGGCTTTAGCTTGCTGCAAACACCTCACATGACCCATAAGAACGCCCCCCAACCCACCAACAGAAACAGAAAACTGATCTCAAACAGGAAATGGCCATGGTCATAACTCAGAAATAGAAATGTTTCGTTACTAAGTAAGCCCAACAAAGACGAAAGACACACTAATAACAAATAAGTATGTGTATATTTTACATATCATAGCACCGCACATTGGAAATACAAACAGCACTAAGAAGATATGACCATTATCAGGCCCATTCCTACAATAAAATAAGCTATTCCCAAATCATGCAATTTGTCCTGTTGAGTCCCGGTTGCACACAAAAACCAAGTAGACTGGAATCATCACATTTGCTAGTTAGATTGCAGCCAAATAAAGATAGATCAATCTTTATGGAAGAACTTGATAAATGATCCATATAAAGCAAACAACATGACTTACCATCCTCATATCATAATAAACAAACAGAAAACAAATCTTACCTGAAATATAAGGCCATCAGCATCATGGCAAAGTGATGGAATAAACTCCTTAAGCAACCTTTTCACTGTGGAGAGCACCCAAAAATCCTTTCTCCTAACCTGGTAATGTCATATAATCAACAAAAAGAAAAAGAAAAGTGGCTTTGCAGGAGTCATGAGTTGAACATCATAATTCAGAAGTGCTAAAATCCAATACCGAAAATAATTCCATGTCATATTTGTACAGCGGATTGCTCTTAGCACCACTCTCAAACTGCCTTTTCTCATGATAACGTGGTCTTATTATTTCATCTTCCAGCATTTTCCATCTTTCAGAAAACGGCAACTGCATACACAAATTTCCATAGTTAAAGATAATCTCAAGCCATAATAATCAGTGTTTCTATCGCCCTAGAGTTTTTTTCAGCATGTCAATCTACAGTAAATAGAGCTCACGTACATAAGTTACAGTAGAAAAAAATAATTTACACCCTTGATTACAGTCTATGAATCGTGTGGCAACATGAACTTTGTAGGCCCAGCTGCTAATCATATGGAAGAAAAAGGTGAGTAAGCAAACATGATTGTGGAGAAGATAAGAGCAAAACATTGATGGTGTGGAGATAGAGGGCGGCCGCCAAGAAATAATTCAGAAAGGATGCTTATTACATCTCTTTTCATTATTACAAGGACACCAAAGTTTCATAGATAAAAGAAGAAATCAGAAATAAGTAAATAACAAAATTCTATATATCAAGGTCATATATCATGCATAAGATCAAGCGCCATAAGATCATATTACCTTGGTTTTGGGCACTGCGTCAAGCGCCATAAAATCATATGCCAAGTACCTTCTCTTCAAGCCTGAATCTGGTACCGTGTCTATAATCATCTCTCCATCAATCAAGGTCATATCATGCAGGCCCTTTATAGCAAAAGAAATAAGGTTAAAAGTTTTGCATCAAAAGTCATGTTCTATGATTTTACTCCAGCACAATTGGAACCTTACTTCGAGGCTTCTATGGGGAAAGCGCATTTGGACCCTTCTAAAGCAAAAATTCCGATCAATTAAGAAACAGCCATATCTCATAATAAGCATCATATATCGTGTTCCATCAGCTTTCCATGTAGCAAAGTAGTATCGCTGTCTAAGTAGTTGCAGATTATCACTGAACAAAGTAAAATGAATGCATTAGATAAAAAAGAATATACAACTTAGGAATAAAGAATACCAGAATGCAAAAAATGATGTAAGAGAAATTTGAGTTACCGTTAATGTTACTCGCCTGTTAAGCGAAACTGGATGTGATCCAGGAAATTGTGGACCTCTTCCCTATATACAAATAAAGATTATCAGAGTACCTAAATAAAAAGGCACTACTTGTTTGAGAGCAACACATGCAGAAATTGAGTTACAAAACACAAACCAACTCAAATAGAATGGATAGAAAACATGATAGATCTACACACTGAAACAAGTTTAATCACGACCAAATTCTATTAGTTCCCAGCATTTCCAAAATACCATTAAACAGTGTAAATCACTTTACAAATCTCCCTCAGATTCTGAGCCTGTAAGTAATTACACTTTTAACTTGTAAGATTCCAGACGGACCATGTCGAAAACACATTGTCTTGTAATCTAGTATGAAAGTATTTTGCCAACAAAGCATGTCAAACTGTGTAACATTTTCAGCCCGCATTGCATGACATGAAATATTCATGCATCTGCTCAATGCTAACTTTTAACCAATGCTCCCAGAAATGAAATAGTTGCCGAAGAAGGGATTGGTGGTATTAGAACTATATTGTATATTCTACAAATGGTTATCATAGTCCATGTTATCATTGTAAAGCATATACAACAATACCATTATGAAGAGCTGGAAATTAATTACATAATATATTGGGTAGAAGTAGAAATAGCATACTTACAATGGGCATTTCAAGCAACGGATAACATATGTCACACAAAGCTTTTTGCTGGTCATATGGCGCAGGGACCCCTAACACATCGTCATTGATGATGACTTTATCCTCTGACTCATTCTGCAAACATATTGTGGTGTCGAGATATTAAGAAACAATGCAATCGACACTGCTTAGCAAGAAAACCATGCAATGAGGTAATATCAAGGACACAAGCAATATTTAAGTCTATCCCTTCAACTTGAGAAGTAGAACTGATAATTCCATATAAGTTTTGAAGAAAACACATACATGCGGTGGTTTAAGATAAGCATTGTCATCATCATCATCAGCCTGCTTAGCTTCTCCATTTAAATCAAGATCATCTGGTCTCTTCCATTCTGGTGTTGGAGGGCATGCTATCATCATATTCTCAGGGACCTCATGGTAAAATGAATACAGTGCTTCAATGTAGTCCCTCTTGTATATGCCAGGTGGCCGCCTTTGAGCAAATATATTTATTGCGTAGAAAAAAAAAGTGGTTATGTAATACTGAAGAATAAAATCAATCAAATACATCTGGGGTCTAGTATCCCTACCTCAGCAACACAAGAGATGTGTGTGCGCATAAGGTAATGAATAATCATGAAACCTATACGATTATGACCATGGGTACAATGAACCAGAATATATTTAGGATTATTTGATTGCTTTTGTCGGTCAAGGCACATCATTGCCTGAAAGAACAGCAAAAGTTGTTGACAAAGATGGTTTACAGGAAGCTTTCTTAAAACATAGCATTATGCTCTACGCAGCAAAAGAAAGGCTGACCGGAGATATTAATGACAGTTGGGACTATCTATACCATTTACACCAAAGCAAGGTAAAAAGAAATGACCAGATTACTGATAAACAGCGTCCAAATCAATTCATTGTAGAGAATCCAACAATATGAAAATGCAAAAATATGCAGGCCCCTCTGAAATTAGCAACACGATGAGCATGTAGCAGTCTACCAAAACACAGAAAAGGTGGAAAGTGTGAACATCACACACAACCTGATGAGAAAAAACAGGTTTGTGCGATTAAGAGATGGGAGCAGAATAGCAAGAGATGGATTGTGTTAGCCGATGACAAAAGGCTCACAAGTCACAACAGAGCCTAAGTGTGATTAAGTGGATGGATATGCTTGTGCTTGATCTCCTTGATTGGCAACTCTATAAATATAGATTTGGCCCATTACAACGTATTCAAGCTTACAACCGAACTCACAAACTCTAGTAAACCAAAACCAACAGATCTCCTACAATTAACCTACTTAACCAACAAGCCACCACATAACAATCTCCAATCCAACTATATCTCTAAGATTCCGATAAGCACGCCTTATCATTGACGATCTGCTTCATGCACCGCTCAAACTGCCAGACCAGGCAACCAGAATAAGGCCATTTAAAAAGGTAGGTGCAATAAATAAAATAACTTGGAACATAAACTATGGTGCCCTGAGGCGAAAGAGAAAACAAAATTCTTTGAGATCTTCAGCATCCCCACACCCACACACAAAAGAAAAAGGAAAAAAACAAAATGGGCATATATACTATCCAGAGTAAAATATACTGCTTTTGCAGAGATATGTATCCATAGACTGTGTACCTCATTGACAAACACATTAACAGATTCATTGTCAGGTACAGCATCTCCCCCCTTGCATGGAATCTAATCCAAAAACATGTTAGTCAAGAAAAAGGATCTTGAGAAACAAGAAAGCATTTAAGCTAAGCAATCTCACCTTGACATGCTTAGTACCTTGAATCGTCCATTCTGCTGGTGAATAATACCGGGTGGTATTTGTCAAATCAATCACCAGACATATCTGAAAGACAAAAACCAAAAGTCAATACAGAATGTATGTTGTCAGCCTAATTAAACGGCTGTTTTGCCCAATATTTGGCTATAAAAGATGGGTGACCGAGTGTTTAACGTTTAGGTGAACACTGATGCATACAAATACATATAAGAAATGGCGTAACCAAAAAATTTGATAATGAAATAATATTTTAACTTCTAAGGGGATTCCACAAACCCCACCTATTGATGCCATAAGCTTAAGTGACTTGCTATCTATGTGCATATGGAATACGCGCCACTATTTATACAGGGATTTCTGGACAAAGGGGATGATCGTAGAATATCAGGACTAACTTCAAGCCTCAGATTCCATTCACAGGATGGACAGATGGTGGGTGTCTAAGAGAAAGTGGCAGAATGGCATCTCCAACTTTGTAATCAAGCCATTAGATCGCATTGATCATACAGTTTAAACGTTGTTCTTAAGGCAGTAAAGCGATCTGCAGTGACCAACCCCTTCTTATCACCTAGGAGCTTAAGGTGAGGCAGTAAAGCAGACACCATACACAAAAAAAATAAGATATAAGAGAAGGATAAATAGGAGCACCGATGGGCCACAGCCATAAGCAGTCAGCCCACCAATCAACTAAAGCCATATCCAAGCCTGCCCATACCCTCCACTGCCCCCTCATATGCCCTAGCTCCCTATGACATCCACTGGGCACTGCCTCCCAATCCCTGACACCACCAACAACCCAGAACGAAGCATAACAAAGCACAGCAAGAGAAGATGTGATGGGCCCCGCTGCCCACAAGCACCTACACAGCTTCGTAACCCACACGCACCTGAATCACCCTCCCTAATGGCCTACTTCTATCCAGATGGAGGTCCATCACCGACCCCTTCCAGAGCAGACCGAGAGATTGGCTGGTGATGGAGGTACTGATCAGCAATCATTAGTAAGATCCAATAACAATATGTCAAGGGCACGGTACGTGGGATGAACATCATCAGCACCATTAAACATAGTTGCATACGTACCCGGCGCATTGTTGCGACAGCAGACTCAACAACAGGTTCCTTGTGAGGATACTCAACCTCAACCTGCTCATCATCATAAGGCTGATGCTCATCATCGGCGATGCGTTCAAATCCATAGAGAAGGCCATTCAACGCCCGCCCGCTACTTCACCTGACAGCAGAAAGAAAGAAAGCGTGTTGGGGTATGGTGTACTCATCAGACATTTGTATGTGGAAAACGAAAGCGTCGGAGATGTCCCAAACCATCAGAAGCAAATAAAAAAATGGCAGGCAGGCATTCAAAGAATTAGTGCTACGACGAGAGCACGTAATGGGCAACCCACCCTTGCGTGAATGCACGCCGCAAGAATGGAGGCGTTCCAGGAATCATTAGAAGCGAATAGAGAAGAGAAAGAAGAAGCATTCAAGGAATTAGCCGAAACCCAATTCCCCACACCCGTGCTCTTCCAGAGCCGCTCGGCGTGCCGAGCGAGCGAAACCACCTCTCCCCGGGGGAAAAACATGGCAGGGCGGGACGGTTCGGGACCCTACCCTACCTCGCGCGGCGGGCGGAGGCGCGAATCGAAATCGGGCCGAGGGGGAGAGCAGTCGCCAATAAGGGGGAACCCGGCGCACCACATGCGCCCTCCACGTGGCCAGGGGAACCGCAGGCGGCGCGGGCGAGCGTACCTGGCGGCTGGCGCCGGATTCGGTGGAGCTGCCTACGAGCTCGGAGCAGGCGGTGGGATCCGAGTGACAGGCCGGAGGAGGCGCGGGCGGGACGACCTCCTGCGCGGGCCGAGCTCGGAGCTCCTCGAACTGCTGGCCTGGTCCCTGGTGGCACGATCTTGGATTGAAGCCCCCGCGCGAGATGTCCTGCGGGCCGACCTCCTCACCTCAGGCTCCAGCACCGGCTCTTGCTCCCTTCTTCTTTTTTCCTTTTTTTATATATTTAATAATTTATTTAATACTCTCGTTTTGATTTTTTTTTTACATCGAATTTGTTATATACTCACTCGGTTCTAAAAATAAGTCTGCATTTCGGATTTTAAAGGTTCAACTAATCTCAAATTTAACTATTAGATTTAAAGGAAATAAAATTAACATTTATATGTCCAAATATATTTATATACTATAAAAATATATGATGTGGTTAATCTAATTGTGGCCTTATTTTCCTTAATGCATCTTTTTGGGGTTTTTTTTCTATATCTCTATCTATTTAGATATGTATTGTTGGCCCACGGGATCACCGGCTGACGACAGTGAACTAGTCTCCAAACCACTAGTCTCCCAAACCACTAGTCTTCTCAGACCACTAGTCTCCCAGACCAGACCACTAGTCTCCCATATCACTATACCGGTTGTGTTCGTACCCACACACTACGGATCAAGCAAGAAGAAGAAGAGAGAACAGAGCAAGCACGCACAATACAAGACAACAACGTTGGTCGAGGCCCTGTCTGTGTGATGGCAAATCTGAACTCTCTTTACTGAGTTGCCTTGGTGCCATATTTATACAACTCTATCTATCTAACTAAAGTACAGCGCACATGCTGTAACAGTAACTAGATAAGCATACAGGGCTGACTCTGCGCCGGTCACTGCATGTGCCTATAGTGTTGCAGGTGTACCGTGCGGCGCCTGCACCTGCAGCGGCTACAGTATTACAGCAGGGGGCAAAGTCGGCGCCGCCTTCCTCTGCTATGTTTCACATAAGGTGGCAGTAGATTAGCTAACAATCTTCCTCTAATCCTACTGCTAATCCTTGCACCCCCTCCATGCCGATCATCTCCTTCAGCTCCGTGAGTCGAAGTCGTCCGAGCGGCTTGGTGAGGACGTCCGCGAGTTGCCGACCAGTTTCGACAAACTCGATGACGATCTTCCCTCCATCAACACAGTCCCTAAGGAAGTGGAACTTCACGTCAATGTGTTTACTCCGGTCATGCAGAACCGGATTCTTCACGAGGACGATGGCGGGCTGGTTGTCCACCATCAGTGCTGGTGGGTGAGCTTCCACGCTGGTTAGCTCGCCCAGCAGCCGGCGTAGCCACACAACTTGGCACGCCGCTGTGGCCGCGCGCTACGTACTCTGCCTCGCACGTAGATAGCGCCACCACCTTCTATTTCAGCGACAACCATGAAATTGGGGCCGACCCGAGGAAGACGAGTACGCCAGAGATGCTTCGTCGTCCGTCGATGTCCCCCGCCATGTCTGCATCGCTGAACACCGTGAGCTGCAGCCTACTTCCTCCGGTCTTTGGGAAGATGATTCCATGATTCACCGTCCCCTTGACGTAGCGTAGTAGCCGATTCACCGCAGCCCAGTGATCCTCTATGGGATCCTCCATGAAGAGACTGACGTAGCCCACGGCGAACGCAATGTCCGGCCTTGTGTGGACTAGGTAGCGCAGACCGTCGACGATGCTCTGGTAGAGTGTTGCATCTACTTTCGCAGCGGTGTTGTCCTTCGTCAGCTTCAGCCGCTCCTCCATCGGAGTCACGCATGGCTTGCACTCCACCATGCCGCTCCTCTCCAACAGCTTGGAGGCATACGCGCTTTGCCCGAGCGTGAGTTCCTCCTTCCCCTGTCTCACCTCGATGCCGAGGTAGTAGGAGAGAGCGCCGAGATCGCTCATTCAAAAACGAGCTACCATCTCTCGCTTGAAGCTGTTGATATCCTCCGTGCGCGCGCCGGTGACGATTAAGTCATCCACATACACGTCGACCACGAGTTCTTCCTCCCCCCGTCGTCGCGTGTAGAGCGCGTGCTCGATTGCGCACCTTTGAAACCCAAGCTCGTCCAGCGTGGTGTCAAGCTTGGCGTTCCATGCTCGAGGGGCTTGCCGCAGCCCATAGAGCGCTTTGCGCAGTCGAGCACCCTGTGCTCCTCTCCCTTGACAGCGAACCCTGGAGGTTGCCTGACGAAGACCGTTTCCGCCAGCTCGCCGTTGAGGAAGGCCAATTTAACGTCCAAGTGATGGACACGCTAGTCCTTTGCTGCCGCCAAAGCAAGTAGCAAACGGACCGACTTCATGCGCGCTACTGGTGCAAAGACCTCCTCGAAGTCGATGCCCTCGCGCTGGACAAAGCCTCAGATGACGAGGCGCGCCTTGTACTTGACAATGGCGTCGAGCTCGTCCCTTTTGACTTTGTACACCCACTTCAGGCTGATCGGATGGCATCCTAGGGGTGGATCGATGAGCTCCCAAGTCTCGTTTTCCTCGATCGCCTTCATCTCCTCCAGCATTGCCCGTCGCTAGTTTCCATCGCGCTCAGCTAGCGTGAACATGGGTGGTTCCTCTGCACTGACGAGTAGCAGCTCTGCGTCGTTGAGCAACCTACCCGCCAGACCTGAGGGACCTGTGCCACCGACGATGTCGTCTAGCCTGCGGAACCTCAACTCCTCACCTCCGTGGTAGGCGTCCACGAACTCAGTGATGTCACTTGGAGGTGAGGCGAACTCGATCGGGGGTGATGGAGTTCCTTCTTCCGCCGAAGTGCCCTGCATAGCACCTGAAATGCTCGGCACTGCTTCTGGATTGCTCGTCATAACTCCTGCAGTGTTCGGCCACACTGTAGGAGTGCCCAGCCTCAGTCTTTGAGTGGTTGGAACCACAGTAAGACGTCTTGGCTCCGCCACAGGAGTGCTCGGCACCCATCCTGAAGTGGTCGCCACCACTGCAGAACCTCCTGGCTCCACTCCTGGCGTGCTCGGCATTCCTCCAGAAGTGCTCGGTACTGCCCCAGAAGTGCTTGACTCTACCGCCGGAGTGCTTGGCGCTCCTCCTGGTGTGCGTGGCACCTGTTCCGCAGCGTCTCCACCGCCATGGATGACCAAGTGCTCGACGACAAAGGTGTTGGTGAAGCCTCCTGCTTCCCCCGTGCTCGGACTGTGCTAGTCCCAAGCTGCCTCCTCATTGAACACAACATCGCGTGAGACAGTCACCTTGTCTCCGCGTGGGTCATAGAGCCAGTACGCCTTGGTACCCTCCGCGTTGCCC